CCCGCTCTCTCCTGCATCGCGGCTCGCGGATCTCTCTGCCCCTTACCGGCTCTCAGGCTTTGTTGGTTCCCTCGCCAGTGGCTTCGGGATGACTTCCTGGGAGCCTGTGAATTCTCATCCTCCAAAAGGAGGCCAGAGAAAACAAAGAGAGTGGCCCAAAGTGGGGTGATCGGGCAGCCACCCTCCCCTCCCTGCTCCCAGATGTGGGGCTCGGCACGCACGCATACAGGCAGAGTTACAGGGAAGCTTCGTGACTCACGGAGTGTGCCCCACCCTCCCACCCAAGGATGCCAGGGAGTGGCCTGTTTTGGAGGAGGTGACTTGGGGTCCCCACCCCCACCCCTTGCCTTCCCGGCAGACAACCCCAAGGCTGGCGGAGGCTGTGTGGAGAACTGAAGACACTGCGGTCTGTGGCTCCTGGCCCCAGCTGGCCTCTGGGCTGTGCCTTCCCCTGGCTCCCACTCGTCTGGCCGCCGCCCTGACAGACAGGGTTGTAAGGAATTGGAAGGGGGGCTTGGCGGGGAGGAGGAGAACAACAGTCCATAATAACAACCCTGGCTCCTTGGCCAGGCGGCTCCGAGGGCCACCACTCACTGTGCCCTCCCGGGATACCTGGGATGGCTGTGGGGGGACCGCCTGGCCAGATCCGCCTCTCCTGGTGCCGCCCGCGGGGAAGGGGCTCCTCTTCTCCAAGTTTCTCACGCTGGGGAGAGGCCTGCATTCTTCCCTCATTCTCAGCGTCCCCACCCTTCCAGCAGTCCACCCGGGGCCACCACCTCGGCTTCCAAGCCTAGAAGTCACCCGGCCTTGACCTGTGCAGGCTTGTTTCTCTGGTCGAGTCTGGACGTCTGCGGCTGCCCAACTGGGCTCCTGCCCCGCCCTCCCAGCCATCCTGCCCCGTCTGCCACCAGACTGTCATCTTAAGGAGCCCAGTCTGGCCGTTCCCACTGCCCGAAAGCAAAGCCCAGTTCCCAAGGGGCCCGTGCAAAGACAAGGGACCCTGGGGGGGGTGTGCATGCCATGAGGGGGAGTGAAGAGGTTGACAGGTCAACGGGTTTCCTGGGCAAGGTGGTGTCTGATCCGCCTCTGGAGGACTTGGGGTTGGAGGGGGGACTTGAACAGGCAGTGGTCAGCAGGTGGGCCAAGGGTCTGAGCAGACTTGGAAGCTAGGACAAGTCCGCGGTGCTCCCCGGTGTGGCTGGAGTGTCAGGCGTCCCGGCGTGAGGTAGGGAAGGCAGGCGGCAGCCAGGCAGCCACTTAACAGGAGAGTTCAAGTCCCCGGCTACCCCAGCCCGACGACCTTCTTCCCAGGCAGAGGGTTGCGGAAGGAAGGATCAAGCTGACGTGACTGGATCCCTGCAGGGGAGAGTGGCCGTGCTGGCTGGGGGTGGTGGGAGGGGAGGAGGGGCGGAGTCTGGGAAGAAGGAGGAGGAGGAGGAGGAGGAAGGTGGGGAGATCTACATGATAACTGAGGCAGGACCGAGTGTGAGCCTCCATTCATCCCGCGGGTATTTCTTTAGAGCTTCCTATATGCTGGGCACTGTTGGAGGCACAGGGGAATCTGACAAACCCAGTCCGTTCTCTTGAGGAGCTGGTAATCCGCGGGGAGCCCCACAAGACCGTCCCACACGGTGATGAGCTCTGGAGGAAAGTAAAGGAGAGCCTCCAAGGGCGGGGCGAGGCGGAGAGTAAGTGGATGTGTCTTTCTGACTCAGCAGCTCCCCTGTGGAGACCCCATGAGACTGGGCTCCAGCCCACGTTCCTCTCCGTGCGTGCAGCAGCCCCAGAAGCCCCTTCCTTGCATACCACTGTATCCTCTGTCTCCCTGACCCCATCTGACTTCACCTCTGGCCAGAGCAGTTCTTCTCTGACCTTGACCTCCCAGCGTGTGTCCCGGGGTGAAAAGCGGTGAGGGTTGAGCTAAACGTCAGACCTGTCTCTGGTCACATGCCCTCTTCCTCAGGAAACCTGTCCTTCAAGGCCGTCCACTGATTGGACAAGGCCCACCTACATGATGCAAGATCACCGCTTTACTCCAAGCGTACTGATGCAAACGTTCCTGATCTCTAAAAAATCCCTTTAGGGGCAGCATCTAGGCTGGTGTTTGACCAAATAAACCTAATCAAGTTGACACATAAATTTAACCATCAAAGCTGCTTATTTATCTAATCATCTCATTCCAGATAGAACACTGCCAAGAGACAAGAAGCAAGGAAGCGGAACTTACTCCTCCCATGGTCTGGTGAGAAGAGGAGAAGACGGAGACCCTCCTGGGACCAAGCACATCACTCCTTCTACCTTCTTGTTAATCCTATGGCCCCCTTGGCCCACATCCTTTTGTCCCACCTGCCTTGCAAGACTTTACACACACACACTCAGGCTCTTGGGTCATCCTGATGGGACATGTCATACCCCATACTTACCTGTGGTCATATTCCTAGCCCTTGTCCTAGTGTGGGGCACACCAGAGAGCTCCTGAGACACCAGGTTGTTGAAGGGACAGATGACGGAGTCCCTGGTTATCTTAGGGAAGGAGCCCATGCCAGCACCTGTGTCTCTTGACCTCTTGTTCAGCACCTTGCCCTCGAGTATAGGACATCCCGTCCAGACCAGCTACCTCTTGCGATGTGTTCTCTGCTTCCTGCTTCTTCCTTTGTGGCCAGCACTATAATAGGCGCCTGACAAGCATTTTGTCGCTTCCTTCCCATAACAACCCTGTAGATGGATATACTTCTCCTTTGCCAGATGGGACATTGAGGCTCAAAGAGTGTAACTCTCATAAAACCACATAGCTAAGGAAAATGGCAGCACTGACACTCGAACCCAGATCTGCTACTGACTCCAGAGATGGGACACTCATCAGTGCCAACAGGCAAGCCACATCCTCAGCTAGGGGCTGGGGACAAAGAGACAAAGCAAACAAAGGTCCTGATTTCATGGAAGCTGAGGTCTAGTGCATGAAGAGAGGTGTGTAGGCTGCCTGGGTGGCTCAGTCGTTAGGTGTCTGCCTTCGGCTCAGGTCATGATCCCAGGATCCTGGGATCCAGCCGTATATTGGGCTCCCTGCTCGGCGGGAAGCCTGCTTTCCCTCTCCCACTCCCCCTGCTCGTGTTCTTGCTCTCACTGTCTCTCTGTCAAATAAATAAATAAATATCTTAAAAAACAACAACAAACAGATGTGCAAGAAGTTAGCGTGAAAAGCTTCGTAGCAACCTATCATGGCTCCAGGAACGTGTATTTGGGGAAATTAGACAAGAGGGCTGTCTGAGCTGGGCTTGGGGAGGGCAGGAAGGGGAGAATAAGAAATATTCTGGGCATGGGGTACGCTTGGCAGGAAGGAGCAATCAGGCTAGAAATCTAGGCCAGGAAACGTTATTTCCCATTCATTCCTGGAGTGAAGCCTGTAATTCACGTGGGGTTTCTGGAGCAGGCCAACAATATCATTTCCCCTGCCTCAGTTCAGCTCTGTATCCCAAGCCATGAGGCCTCCTCTTGCACAAGTAGTCCTTCCCTTGAGCTGTTTGTCGTTGTTCTTTTTCTTTCTTTTTTTAAGGTGTTTTTTTTTTCTTAAAGATTTATTTTTAAGTGATCTCTACACTCAACGTGCGGCTTGAACTCACAACCCTGAGAATCAAGTCGCACGCTCAACCGGCTGCATCTGCCATGTGCCCATGAAGTGGTCCCTCCCTTGAGTTTCTTTTTAAAAATATGTTGTGAGAGAGAGACTGAGAGCGAGCGTGGGGAGGAGCAGAGGGAGGGAGGGGGAGAGAATCTCCAGCAGACTCCACGCTGAACATGGAGCTTGGTGCTGGGCCTGATCCCACGACCCTGAGACCATGACCGGAGCCAAAACCAACATTTGGACTCCACTGAGCCACCCAAGCATCTTTTTTTTTCTTAAAGATTTTATTTACTGGGACACCTGGGTCGCTCAGTTGGTTAAGCCTCTGCCTTTGGCTCAGGTCATGATCTCAGGGTCCTGAGATTGAGTCCCATGTTGGGCTCCTTGATCAGCGGGAAGCCTATTCCTCCCTCTGCCCCTCCCCCTGCTTGTGCACTCTCTCTCTCCCTCCGACAAATAAATAATAAAATCTTTAAAACTAAAGATTTCATTTATTTATTTGAGAGAGGGGGAGGGCAGAGGGAAACGGAGAAGCAGACTTAACGCTGAGCAGGGAGCCCGATGCGGGTCTCTATCCCAGGACCCTGGGATCATGACGTGAGCGGAAGGCAGCTGCTTAATGGACTGAGTCATGCAGTCGCCGCCTCCCCACCCCCCTGCCCTCAAGCTGTTTCTAATGAAACCCAAGCGGTGCATGTTTGTGGCTGGTTCTATGTGGGTGGGCCTCACCCAATGAGGTGAAGACCTTAAGAGAAATGACAGGTTTCTTGAGGAAGGAATTCTGCAGCACAGAAAGCCTGCCGGAGCATCCAGCAGGCTGCCCTGCAGAATTCAGACTCAGGACTGCAACATGAACTTACCTGAATCTCCAGCCTGCCCTACAGCTTTCATACTTGCCAGGCCCTGTGATCCTGTGAATCAACTCCTTACAATTCCTCTCCTTCTCTCCACACATATACACACACACTATTGGTTCTATTTCTCTGGAAAACCCCACTATAATATTGCTGAGTATATTACATATATTATATCTCAGCAATATTATGTATTTATCATAAACAACAACTAAAAAACCCTCTTGTGAACCTTTTGTGAGCACTTACTAGGTGCCAGCCACATGCCAAGCTCTTTGCGTGTGTCTCGGATGCTCTTCCTCATCTAAAGGCTCCATGCCATCATCTGGGTCTGGTCCCATTTCACCGATGAGGATACTGAGCCGCAGAGGGTTCAAGTAATTTGCCCAAGGTCCTGAAGTGATAGAGCTGGATTTGGATCCGGGTTTGGATGCGGGTAGTCCCACTCCAGTGCCTAAGAGTGGTGGGTCCTTTTCTGCTACGAGTGTGTGTGTAAAGCAAGACACGTGACCTAGCTGGCAAGGAATGCGGTTTTAGTCGGTTTTAGTTGTCAGTTACCACTGGGTGGGCAGGGGGCGGGGATGAGGGAGGGTGTGAGTTGTGTGGCTCAGGGTTCTGGGAGTGCCCTGTCTGAAGGGGCAGCCCTGGGGGCAGCTGTGAGGCAGTGCCTGGCTAAACAGGCTGCTTCTGGATGTGTGGTCCAGGCTGGGAGCTGGGAGACTGCAGTCATTTTAGGGGACTCCAGGAATAGCCCTCCACAGGGCGGGTGGGCTCCGGAAGCCCCTTCTTCAGGCCTCAGGGTGAGCGGGTGATGCTCTATTCCAGGGTTGGCAGCTCCAGCTCAGGGGCCCGGCCTTGGCGGGTCCAGCTGTGTGAGGTGCAGTTCGGTGATCACAGCTTGGGGACTGGGTCCAGCCCAGCCGACTGGGCAGCGAAGCGCCCAGCTCCTTCCGGTGCTGCTGGGGTGGTTGGGGCAGGGAGGGGCTCAAGACGTCAGGTCACCACGCAACAGCCCCGGGTAACCCTCCTCCAGAAGTTGCGACCGCGGCTGCTGAGGGCCACCTTGGCTGCCTCCTGGAAGACGGCATGGACATTTTCTCGGAGCAGGGCTGAGCACTCCAGGTAGGCCACTGCGCCCACGGACCTCGCCATCTCCTGGCCCTAACAGAGAGAGGGGAGAGGGCTGCCTTGAGGGGGAGGCCTCCGGAGGGCCTTGCGTTCAGCCTCCTCATGGCTTCACAGTGCTCTTGGCCATCCTGGGGAGTCTCCAGGACAAAAGAGGAAGGTGAGTTTTTCCAGGAGCCATAGCTCCTGCCCCCTGGCTTGACCAAGCACTCTCATGGCTTCTTTGGGTTTCCTGCCTCAGTTCCGGGATGGATCTCTGTCTCTCACGGCACGAACTAACCCACTTCCTAGGTGTGTAGCAGAGAGGGGCCTGTGGCCTGAAGGGATGGGGTTCCTCTCCAGGCCTCAGCTTCCCTATCTGTAAGTGGGTGTGCGGGATTATCTGAATGGGCAGACCACTCGCTCCCCTTCCACAGGCAAAAGCTTCTAGAGTATTCTAGGTACCAATTCTAAGCCCAGACCATTCCAAGATGACCCCTACCTTGACCTACACCCTGTTTGTGCTGGATGCCTCATGCTACTGAGAGGCTGGGCGGGGTCAGCATACCCTGAAGCCCGCCCCCTTCCCAGGACCCGTCACCCCCACGCTTGGGCTGGGTTTCCTACCCTGTGGTAGGTCACAGGTTCCAACCTATTTTTCCGCAGCTTCTTCACCAGCGACTTGTCCTTGCGCAGGTCAGTCTTGCAGCCCACGACAATGACAGGCACCTCCTTGCAGAAGTGGCTCACCTCTGGGTACCACTGCGGGGAGGGTGGCAGCGCGGGTGCGCGTGTTAGCCGTGTCTCCAACCTCGCGCTCCCCCGGTGGACTCCAGCAATGATAATCAGCGCAGCCAACATTTAGGGAGAATTACCCTGTTCTAGGCTCTAAGACTTCACATGTGTGAACCCTTCAGTCCCCTAAGTTCCCGTGAAGCAAGTTCTGTCATCAATCCCATTGTACAGGTGAAGTAACTGAGGCTCGGAGACGCTGTGGAACGTGGCTTTGGTCACACAACTGGAAGCGGCAGGATCTGAGCCCAGGGTTGGGACCCAGAGCCCTGCTCCTGCCTGGTCTAGAATCCTGCCACTCTGCAAGGTAAGGGCCCCTAGGACTGCCTCCCAACTGGGTAAGATATATAAAGAAATAAGTCAGCCTTTAAAAATAAAGCAGCTCACAAAATGGTCGCAGCAGCTGTGTGCCTGCTGGAGGGAACTCTCCTATTCTGTGTCAGCTGCTCTTTGGAACGTGCGGCTTCAGGGCCTGGTTACTACAGCCTGGACAGCTGGGAAGTCTAGAATCTGGAGGCAGGGGATTGAGATCTCCAGGAGTGCGCGCCTGCTCAGTTTGTCTGTTTAGAAAAAACTGGCATCAAGCCGTCTGGCTGCTGGAGCCAGACAGGGCCTGGGGGGCTCCTGGGCTGACTTCCCATACTCCAGCCCCTCCACAGACCTGTGTCTGACCGTGGTCTCCGCCATGACTTTGCCTTGCTAAATCCAACACTGAATCCTCGGCCTTCGTCCTGCCTGAGCCCTGGCACCAGGCCGCCAATCTCTCCCTCCCCTACCGTCTGGTTGGCACTTCACTCTGGGACCCTGCTCTCTCGCTTCTCTCCAGGTGACCTTCCCGTGTGCAAGGCTCTTCCCCACTGGTGGTGCTGAAATGGATCTGCCCAGCCCTGGGAGCTGCAGACTCAGACCCCCATGTCTACCTGGCCCTCCACTGTGATGTCCAACAGGCCCCCATCTCCCACCTCCCTACCCCCCACTTGCTCCTTCTCGTCTTGGGAAATGGCAAGGCTGCCTTCTATTTGCTCTGGTCCAAAGCTCTCTCCCACTCCCAACCTGGGGACAATACTACTGGCTCCACCAGGCTGTCAAGAGGAGGAGATGAGTGAATGGGCAGAAGTGCCCAGAACGGAGCTTGGCACAGGGTATGTTCTCAGTAACTATTACCATCATTGTTGTGGTCAGTGTGACTCATGCTGTCACCAGCTGTGCTCTGAGGAACCCTAGAGCACACTGTTTGCCTGCCATTCACGTGGAGGCCCTGGCAGCAGGGGGTACAAGAGCAGAACAACTCAAGGGACCACATCCCTGACACCTGTGGGCAGTGAGCAGCCTTGGGAAGCCCTGACACGGCTGCGGGGCACTGTGGGAGGCCGCTGAAAGCCAGCAGTCACACAGGAGGGGGGCCGAGAGCTGCTGGAAGCTGCCAGTGCGTGCAGCCTCGGACAGGCCCAGGCTGGAGAGCTGCAGGGGCTTTCTCGGTCCAGACCCCGCTACCAAATCCCTGTGGGACCTCTGGCAAGTCGCTGCCCCTGCTCTGGGCCTCAGTTTCCCTATGTACACACCAAAGGTGCTGGATTGAGTCATCTGGGGCCTGCCATGCTCTGACAGGCTGTGGAGTCAAGGGTGGGGCCAGAGCAGAGTGGCCTGGCTACGGGGGGCTGTACCTCCTCCACCCCCAGTACCTACCCGGTTAAAGATGTTGTCAAAGCTGTGCGGGCTGGTGACATCGAAGCAGAGGAGCAGGACACTGGCGTCGGGGTAGAAGAGGGGCCGTAGGCGGTCATAGTCAACTTGCCCTGGGGAGAGTGGGCGTGGGCATTCCCTTCAGATCTCCCCCAACACCAGGGAGGTCATCCCAGCAGACGGGGGAGCCAGGATCAGGCCTGTATGCCTCGTGGTCTGATACACATGTGGTGCCTAGATGGCCTCAGCACAGACATTTCCCTCCTGGCGGTGTTCCCCCAGCTTGCCCGGGGGCTGTGTTAGCCCTGGTTAGCCCTGGTGTTAGCCCTTGCCAAGAAAGCCCCGTTCTGGAAGGAGTGGGGGACCAGTCAGAGGCCCAGCCTGCAGGGACCGGGACCATCGGTCCGAAGTCTGCTTTGCCCTGAGCTTGGGAGGTGAGGAGTAGGAAGCAGGTAGGACCCTGGACAAAGGCCCCTTAAACCCCTGCATGGCCGGGGGCTGCTGGGATACCCTGGGGTGAGCTTTCAGCTCTGGTGTGGATTTGACTGAACCTTATGTGGGTAAGGTCAGGAAGCTGGGAGGCAGAGGTCAAGGTCAGGCAGATCTTACAGAAGCTAGAGCCAGGATGGAATGCTTAGGAGGCCAGTAATAGCTCACCCCTCGAGAGAAAAGAGCTATGAACTCCCCCTTGTCTCTGGGACACAGCTGGCTACCCTCTGTTGGGGGAGGCAGCTGATGTAGGTGCAGGAGCAAAGAAGGTTCAGGTTCCCGGGGACCCTAATCGTGGCCAACACCCTCCCTTGGAGATCGGTGAGATTGGCTGGGCTTCTCTAGTTCGGAACGAAGGGAGCAGGGCTGGGCTTCTGGGCATGGGGGCCCCCTCCTCCCTCGTCCCTCCTGCAGCCTGCACACCCACCTGCCGTGTCCCAGATTTGGAGGTCCAGGGGTTTCCCCTTCATTTGCAGGTTAACGGTGAGCCGCTCAAACACAGTGGGGGTGTAGCTCTGAGGAAGAAGGGGGCAAGGCAGAGGCTGTGAGGACTGCTTCTGTGGCAGGGTATACCCGGGTGCCCTGGCCAGAGCCCGGATTTGCCTGCAGTACCACCCCCCTCTTTGGGAGTCTGACAGTCTGAGGGAGGGTCTCTGCGAGGTAGGCGGCCTGAGGGGGTGAGGCCTAGCACTGCCGCCTCCTGGCTGGGGGTCCCAGCGAGGCAGGCACAGAACGTCCCCGGCCTTCCCACCTGTAAAGCAGGAATATGGAAGGCGCCTCCCACATGTGTTGCCCTAAGGATTCCGTGAGAGGCTAGCTCTGTGCAGAGCCTGACGCACACGGAGCACTCCCCACATGCCAGCTACTGTTATTTTTATCTTTGTCCCCCCGGATGGGGGACTGTCCCATTTCTGAGTCTTCCTTCGCGTTGTCCCCTCCTCCTGGAATGACATTAACCTACATTTGTTTGTTTGTCCATTCATTCACTCCCTCATATATACATTCAGTAAACACTGGCACCTTCTCTAGTCCTGGATGCTGGGGAGCAAGTAATGAACAAGACTCACTGTCTGCTCGGGAGAGCCTGTAGCTTTTTGGGGGGGGGGGGTCCCTGCTTTGCCTCTCAACCTCTCATAAGCCAACCAAGCCCCCTGCCCCATGCCACCTCCCCCAGGAAGCCCTTCTGGATTGCTTCCCACATCCTGTCCGTGTCTGCCTTTCTTATTAGCCCCGTCTGGCATCAGGAGGAAGTCACTCGGGCCACAGGCCCCTCCACCCAGGCCTAGAGGCTGAGGGCACTCCCTCTCCATGAAGGCTGGATGAATGGAAACAGGACGGGTTTGGTACACAGACAACGTGCAGGAATGAGAAGGGGGAACGTGTATAGATGCGGTCTGAGCAACAGGTGAGAGGTTTCCAAGGCTCGACAATGCAAGCCTTTTGCCAGAGTGGCGTGCTGGACCAGCTAGGGTCCCCAAGGTGCGCTCACTTGCTCAGGGCTGGTGGGTGGGGCCACAGCATGGGGAGACCCTGGCCTCCTGGCCTCCGCACTTCCTAGGCCAGATGGTGCCTGCGCCTGCCTCAACTCCAGCTGACTTCAAGCCTGCCTGCCTGCCCGCAGGCTCTGAGTCAGGCCCTGGGCTGCTGGGAGGGGCAGCCCCTCAGTGGTGGGTCAGTGTGGTCCTCTAGGCCACTTGGGAAGGTACAGGGGGAGGGTGGGCCAACAGAGAAGGTGAGGACGGCCCTGGGATAGGGGTTTAATTTGCCCTGGACTCTAGCCACCTGTCACTCCCTCTACCAGTAGGTACAGACAAGAGCTCTACCTACCCCCCACCTCACCCCCCAGCACCCAGCCGGCCCAGGCTCCCTCCCCTCAGGTCCCTTGCCTGGTGGGACACAGTGTGACATGGTGGCTAGAGCAGTGGCTGTGGTCTCAGATGTTCCTGGCTTTGGACTGGCTCTGGCCCTCACCAGCTGCGTGACCTTGGGCCCGTCCCCTCACTGGTTAAAGGAGAAGAGTGTCCCTTTACAGTGGGATAGGGGAGACTGGCTGGCAGGGGAGGCCCAGCATAGACGTCCCCTGCTTAGAAAGCGGAGCGCCAGCAGCAGTGTCCATGCCAGCTGCTGTCCATCCCTCCAGGTGGTATGCTCTTCCCCAGCCTGTCACCGAGGAAGGGACTGACACCTGCTGAGCTTCCACGCACCCACTCACCTGTGGCGGGACCCCTCCTGATCTGAGGTGGAGGGCAGCCGGCCACAAAGCCCTGGGGAGACATGTGTCACTACTTAGCGAACACCTGGGGAGATGACACCGTCATCCACATTTTCTAGGGATCTACTGTGCATGGCCCTCCACCTGTCCTCTCTGGGATACCCACAACCTTGGGAAGTTAGCATTATCCCCATTTTCCTCATGAGGACAGAGCCGGGAAGGATGGAGCCAGGTCTTTCTGGCTCAAGAGGCCAGGCTCTGTCCCAGGCTCAGACCACTGGCCTGTCCTGAGGTCACTGACTCTTGAGCCCTGGGTATCCGGAGTGGGCAGGCAAGCCCCATCCCAGGCTGCCTGGCTGGGTTGCTCCTGCAGCTTGTAACAGCACAACCCTCCCCCCAACTCTAGAGACTTTGTCTACACCTTCTGTTGTGTTCTTTGAACCACCAGGCAGGGTCACTCTGACCAGTAAATGCCTAATCTTATCTCTTGAGCTGTCCTTAGTCAGAAAGGGAGGGCCAGGTCTGAGCCAGACCAGGGTAGAGGTGACTCAGGCTTGGGTCTGCCCTCATAGGGCTCACAGACAGACAGATGGAGCATTACAGGATGGGGGAACATAGTTCAAGAAAGTGAGAGTCCCTCTGTGGACCAGGAGGGACTGAACTGGTTCTGGAAGGCAGGGCTGGTCCTCCCTCCCCCCTCCCCTTCCCATCCTTCTGTGGGACCCCTGGGCTTTGGAATGGTTGCTGATCCAAAGGTTAGCCAGGACCGGGCAGAGGCTGGTGCCTGGACTTCCCTCTACCTCAGGAGCTTTCTCTACTCTGCTCCCTTGCTCTGAACCTAAGGCTGGGCCACAGCGAGACAAGGGTCCCTGAGGTTCAAATCCCAGCCTACTGTCTGCTCTGTGGGGAACTCCAGGTCTTCTAGCTGCTGGTTCCCTGAGTTTGGAGGCCTGCCAGGAGGAGGAGTCTCGGGACCAGAGCAGAAGGCTAGTCTGGCAGGCAGAGCACTGGGGACTGTGGAGAGTGCCCTGGTCAGGGGCGGGGAGATCTGGGCTCCCAACGTGCACTGTCACTGCTGGGCCCTGCTCCCCAAGGCAAGACTCTCTCTCTAGCTTCAGTTTTCCCACCTGTAAAATGAGGCCTTTCCAGTGCTTGCCATTCTTTTAAAAGAAGAGCTCTTCCTTGTGCCTGGAGGTAGAGGGGTCCTCAAACAGATGAGGAGCTTAGACAAGGACAGGTCCATCTCCCTGGTGGCAAGCATGTCCTCCCTTCCCCTGGCCAGCCCCAGCATGCCCTTCAAAACACACATTCCATCAACTTCCAGATGCCCACTTCCAAGCTGCAGTCTCTCTGGAATCAGGATGAGCCTTGCCATCAGTGATGTCTCAGAGCCTAGGACACCCCTCCCAGCCAGTCTCCTGGACCCTGGCTGGCCTGGTCCCTCTCCCTACCATGCCATAATTGTTGGGTTCGCTAGGGCAGCATCTGGGGGCCCAGAAACTTGTCCCACCCAACTTAAAAAAAAATGTGACTGCCCAGAGGAGGTGATGTCAGCTCCACAAACCACAAAGCAAGAGTTGGCTCGATGCTGCCATAGTGGAATGGAAGGTCTGACCCTGTTACCAGCCCTGGCTTCTCCTGCCTCCCCCATCAGACTAGCCAGGGCCTGCAACAGCCCAGGGGTTTGGAGGATGATGGGACAGGCAGGAGGGAGACGAGATGCTGGAAGCAAACCCACAGACTCCCAGAACTGGGCTGAGAGGTGAGTGGGCCGAGCCCCTGTCCTGGTGCCTGGGAGCCCGCCTGGACAGTCTGAGTGCGCTAGCGAAGGACCGACAGCCAAGGCGCCCAGAGTGTCCCAGACGTGCCTGGTACACACGGGCTGTCTCTCAGCCTTGCCCTAATTCCACCTCACTGGGTCTCTGGCCCTCTAAGGTTGTGTGAGGAAACGGAGGCTCAGAGAGGCTAAGCAAGGTACCGAGGGCCCTACAGTTTGTTAGAGGAGAGCTGAGGTGCCAACCAAGCTATCTGACTTGAGTCTGGTGTGCTCTGACCTCCAGGACACAACCCACCAGAGGTCCCTGCACAAGCAAGAGCTGGTGGAGAAGAGATGTTTGCCAAATTCCGTGGGTCCTTCTTGCTGCAGGCTCTGAGCTGAGCCCTTGACCTGTATTAATTCACTCTTCACAGAGACCCTGGAAGGTGGGCACCGATCTTATTCCTATTGTGTGGTCAAGAAAACAGGCACAGAGAGGGTAGGGGACTTGCCCAAGGGTACACAGCTTTAAGTGGCAAAGCCATGATTCGAACCCAGGCAAGTCTGGCTCCAGTGTCCTCAGTCCTTGCTAGACAAGCTGGGCCGCCAAGTGCTCTCTTAGGATCCGGGGGGGGGGGACCCAGGTTGCCTAAGTCAGTCCCCGTGGCACCTCTCCCAGCGAAGTGCCCTTCTTGCCACTTTACAGATGATACCACTGAGGCCCTCGCTATCGATGGCGGAGCGAGAACTGCCTCTGAGCCCACAGTCCGCCGGGAGACCCCTTGGGGGACCAGGTGGGCGCCCCGGGGAGCGCGCGCGGAACCCGACCGGGCGGCCGAGCGCGCGAGGCAGGGTCCGGGGCGCGGGGCCCTGAGGGGGCCGGGACTCACCTCGGGGAAGGACCCTTCGGCGAAGACCATGAGAAGCGATGTCTTCCCGCAACCGCCGTCGCCGACCAGGACCACCTTGACGGACCGCGCGCCCGGCGGCGCCTCGGCGCCCGCGGCCTGGGCCGCCTTCATCGCGAGCGGGCGGGCGACGGCGCGGGGCGGCCGGCGGGGCGCGGGCAGCGGCGCGGGGCGGCCGGCGGGGCAGGAATGTGGAAGGGGCGGGGCGGCGGGAGGAAGTGCGCGCGGGGCGGCTGGGGGCGGGGGCGGGGGCGCGGGGCCAGGTGAGAGCCCGGGGGCGTGGCGAGCGGCGGGGCCCGCCCCTGGGGAAACCCTTGGGGAGCCGCTACTGCGAGCGGGCGCGGGGGGGGGGGGGGGGGGGGGGCGGGGGGGGGGAAGGGGTCTCGCGCTCGGCCTGCGTCCTCTGGAGGCCCACCCGGGTCCGATGGGGAGAAGAAAAGGAGCCGGACGATGACTGTGTGTGGGGAGGGTGGACAGGGGAAGAGGAGGCCCCTGGCCCACTTCCCCTTGGAGGAAGGAGGCGGGGTGGGGGGTGAGGGGCAGCCTGGGGAGCCTACCAGCTTTGTAGCGACAAGAACTGGGTCCCTGGTGCCCAGCGCCGGCCGGCCGGAACAAGAACCACAAGAGCCGGTGACTTCGGGTGAACGAATGGATGCCTGAAGGGACGAATGTGCGTTTCCCCAGGGCTCTGGAATCAGCGCCCACCACGGTCCTCCCTCCAGATATGTAAGGCCAGGCGGGAAGGGGATGAGCCGGGCATACCCTTATGGGTCAGTTCCCGGCACTGCCAGCCTGGCCTGCCCTGCCCCAGCCAGCACCAGGAAGTTTCCATGCAGGTAGGTCAGTGACCATCTGCTCACCTCTGGGAGGGCATCATCTAAAGAAAGTAAAGGAACCTTCCACCAACAAAGTGATGAGAGCAGGGTCTGGTGCATGTTGGTCCATGTGTTAGTGATCCTTACTATTTAACCAATACTGATGCCTAAGGGCCTGGGGACCCTGAACCCTTCAAGATGAAGGTCATGACGTCATCCCACGTGGAGTTCGAAGCTGGGCAGGTGGAAAAGCACCCTCAATCCGCGTTGAGGTCCTCACTGTGGACCAAAGTCCTGTGGACCACAGTCCTCACTGTGGACCAAAGAGATAGCTGGGGCAGGAGTCACTGTCCCCACTGCAAAGAGGCAGAGCCCAGACCCCTGACTCAAGCTCAGCCAGGGCCACAGTCCGCAGGAGGAATGGAGCCTCATCTGGATGGAGGGAGCATCTCATGACATCCCCACCCTTCAGATGCTCTTTCCTCCCCGAAACTGCCAAAGGGCTGAGCAATGACTTGGCACTGAGCTGGGTGTGTATAGCCACCGAGCAGGGCTCCCCGCCCCAAGGAGTGGTGGGAGGGGCCCCGTCCCCCAACGATCAGCTGTCAGCTTTGTCATCCTGTATTCTCTCCACTGCTGCTGTCATCAGGCCTTGGGTGACAGGCTAGGAGGCAGGTGGGGCCAGACTGGCGGTGGAGGGAGCTGAGAGTCAGGCAGAGGCGTTTGGCCTTGGTTGCTATAGGGATAATCATTATAATGACATCCTTGACGTATGTCATGCCTTACAGGTTCACTGAACATTTCTGAGAATAACAGCGCCCATTAATGGCTAGCTCACTGTGTGCCGGCTCTGTGCCCTAGCAGGTGGGAATTGTTAGCCCCATTTTACAGATGAGGAACCCTGGGCAGGGGGCAGAGAGGTTAAATTCTTGCCTAAGACCCGCAGCTAGGAAGAGGCAGAACTTGAGTTTGAACCCAGGTCTGGCCACATGGCAGGGCTCTCTCCTGACATCACACCTCGTATGTATTATTTCCTCCAGCCGCAAGACTCTGTTGTGAGCCCAGCAAGTGATCTGCTTCCTTCGTTCTACTGGGAGCTGAGGCTCAGGACAGTAGGTCCGATTGACTGCCTGGCTGGACAAAGAGGGCAAAGGAAGGGAAATGGAGCAGGGACTAGAGGAAGGAAGGTTGGTTGACTCAAAAGAATAGACAAACCGAAGAAACGAAAAAGGGATAAACGACCGCCCAGGTGAGATTACAGTGCACGACCCAATGGTAGGAGTAGCAGGCAGGGGACCGTCCTCTTGCTTCCATCCGCTCCAAGGACCCCTGGCCTTGGCCCCTTGGCCACATCATAGATCCCCCGACCCCACCCTCCCCAAGCCCGGGAGTCCCCTGCTGCCCCAGCCGGGTCTCTGCTGCCGCCGTGTGGCTGCTCTTCTCCCTGCACCATTCCCACAGAGGCTTGCCAGGTGGCTGGGAGCTCCTGGCTTGGGTGGTGGGGTGCTCATGAGTAGCTGACAGATGGGGGAAGTGGGTGCAGGGGGTGGAGTGGAACTTCAGAGGTCCAGGCATGCCCCTTGGAGTGGCTTGGCAGGCTACACAGGCCCTTTGCTCCTCATGCTTCCCTATGTGCCCTCCCCCTCCCTTTTATCTCGAAAGCAGGTCCCAGGAGGTCTGTCTTTGGCCAGAACCCTTCCACCCAAAGCCCGGACCTCTTGTTTACAGAGCATCTCCTGAGTCCTGGACACTTGGCATGTATCGCTTTATTCCCTCCTATTACGTATAATTCTTATCCTCCTTTGACAAGTAATGAAACTGAGGCCCAGAGAGGACAGATGATTTGCCCAAGATCCCACAGCTGGTGAGTGGGTGAGCTGGGATTCTAACCCAGGCATTTGGGGCTGCTACGCACGGAATTCCTGAAAGTCAAAGGTGTGGGGGGCCTTTAGAAGCCTTCCTGACCAACACATTTATTCTTCAGGCAGGGAAACTGAAGCTCTCGAGTGGAAGGGACCTGTCGCATAGTGAGAAAGCTGCAGGCCCAGTCTGCAGCAGATGGAGCCCGGAAGAGCCTTTTCTCCCATTTCCGTCTGTCTGGGCTCCGTCAGATCCATTCCACTCCAGCCACCATTTAACTGGATGGAGCTCAGGGCTGGGAATGCAGGCCTCCTGTCCTTGCCTCCTCTCTCCGACCTGTCATTATGGATCTTGGTGGGTGGAGTGAGAAGGTTGATAATGGGGTGGGAGGAGCAGAGAGCGAGGGGGCCCTGTGGCCCAGTCTCAGGTTTATTTAGCCTTTCTGGTTGTCACTTTGGGCATCTGCAGGCATAGACGGCTGGGGCAGGAGAGAGGAAGCAAAGGTCTGAGCAGCTGTGGGTTGTGGGCGGTACAAGGACTCAGCCCCGCCCCCCTGTAGGCGTGGCCCCAGTGTGGTCAGGTCAGTGACCTCCATACCTGTCCTCTTGGGTGCAGCACTGCCTATCCCTGAAGTCTTCCCGACAAAGGAGGTCTGGGACCCTTGAGGCCGGCCCATGGGCCTAGGGCTGGGAGGAGGAAGAGGCAGGAAGAGATGCCGGTGGTGCGGTTCGGGCTATGCCGAAGGAGCCTGAGACCTCAGGACAGCTCAGGCTGGCTCTCACTGACCAGGAGCGGTGCTGGCTCACGTCCCCTCCTCATCACTTCCAAAGCTGTTCAGAAGGTCCCCTGCCTCCCTCCCCTGACCTTCGCCTCTGACCCAGCCCGGGACCCTCCGTGGCTCCTCACTGCCAACCTGACCAGGACCTTTGGCTTTACCCTGGAGCCGTAAAACCTCCCCAGCTCAGCCTCATCTGGCCTCTCCAGCCTCAGGTGTCACAAAGGACACCAAGGAGTTCCCATGCCCAGAGGCCCCTCTCCCTCCTCCGTTCGCATGGTCTTCCCCACACTGCCAAGCTAGTTAGTGCTCCTGCTTCCACCTCCTCCAGGAAGCCCTTCCCTACCCTTCCACTCCTATCTCACCGGTGTCCTTTGTCTGTCCAGTGTTGGTGGGAGACGTCGGGGGAGGTCCACAGAAGCCTGCACAGTCGGGCTCTGTGGGAGGCAGGCCTCCTCGGGGCTACTGGTAATTCTGACCTAGATCATCCTTTTATCCTTGGTATGATCTTCTAGGGCAGGGGAGAGACTAGAGCAGCCTGGGAGAGTCGGGGAAGGGGGCAGTGTGGCCTGGGGGTTAAGAGCATGAACTTTGGAACGAGACAGCCGGAGCTTGAATCCCAGCTTTGAGACTTTCTGGGGCTGTGTGATCTTGGACTAGTTACCTAACTTCTTTAAGCTTCCGTTTCCGGTTCTTCAAAACGGGATGATAACTGAACCTCCCCTGGGGTAGCGAGGGTTACAGGGTGGCCCGCTGGCACCTGCACTCAGTGAACGTGTGCCACCCTTCTCCCCTCTAAGCCTTTCTTTTGGCTCCCTTGTCCTCAGCCTCCCCCAAATTTGCTCTAGCAAGGTTGACTAATTGGCCTCAATTTTTGCCCACTCCTGCCCTTTTGTGTCTTGTTCCCTGTTCCAGAAATGCTTTTTGGGCCTTGTCCTAAAACAAGGTTCTTTTTTCAACCCTACGGTTCTTCTTTCCCTGAAGACGGCTCAGTGACACCACCAGGAAGCCCTCCGTGGTATTCCCTACTGCCATCCTCCCTGCCAGGCCTGGCTTAGGGCCCCTTATTAGAGCCTCCCAAGCAGTCCGATGGCATTGCTTCTTGTGCTAGACTCCCAGCCAGCCAGAGGCCTCCTTCCCTTCTGGGTACTCAGCAGCAGGGCAGTCTGCTCAGAGTAACCCACACAGAGACCCAAGTCCCCATTCCTGGAGTAGAGACAAAGGTGATTTGGGGCCGAGCAAGGCTCCCTGGAAGCCCCCTCCTTCCTGCCCCAGCTTTATTTTGGTTCTGGAATCATTCCAGTCAGCAGACTCGGTCCCCACCGTGCCCGTCCCGGGTCCACAGTCCACATTTCATGCAGTTAGAGGGAGGGAAAGAGGGGGAAGAGAAGGTGGGTGTAAAGGCTGCCCTGGGGCAGAAACGGTCTGGGTCTCCCCGGCTGCAGAGGCTCCTCCGCTGTGCCCCTGACCTCCGTGGCGGGCCATGCAGACCTTCCGGTGCTGGCCACAGGGCTGGGCCACAGTTCTGCCTCCAGTCCCATGACTGGGCTCTCCCAGAGGCACTGGGGGTGACGGCTTGGGCCTAGGTCTCCATAGCTCACCAGGGCCTGTGGCAGCCCGAGAGCCCCTGTGTTGACCTGTGGGTGGCCCCGGGGAGCGGATGCTGCTGCAGGCCACCCTCCCCACCCCCACCCCCCAGCTGCCTGCTTCTCACGCACAGGGGCTGCCGCAGCCGGAGAGTGTGCGCTCTCCTCCTCCAGCTGGGGTGGGTGGTAGCTGAAGCCCTGGTGGGGGGCCAAACAGTCCAGCCCCTTTTTTTCTGGTCAGGATCCCTCCAGGGGGCCAATCACACAACAGGGCTCCTCAGGCCATTAGGCTGGACACTCCAGAAGCCACGACGTGCTTGGAGTCTGCCCCTGCTCACCGCTCTCCTTTCTCCCCTCCAGTTTTCTCCAGATGGAGGAAGGCTCCCTGCTCTCCTAACTAACTCCTTGCCTAAGAATCTCAGGGTTTGCTTCTGGAACTTGACCTAGGACCCCCAGTGTCCCCTCCTTCCCAGTCTGGCATTCAAACCCTTCCTTCTCACCCCCCCCCAATCTGGATGCCCCTTGACTTCCCCTCCCTGCCCCTGCTCAGGCCACCCCTTTCCTCCCACCCCTGCAGTGTCTTCTGGCCCCACTACCCACTGGCTACCCACAGGCTGAGGCATCTCTCTTCCCAATAGGGCCTGGCCTGGAGGTATAGAGCCAATGCCTAATCCAGTGGAGACCAAACGCAGGGACCTGGCTCGGGCCTCTCAGGATCTCTGGGCCTTGCCAGGGTTATGTATGGAGGGAGCAGATTTCATGGAGCGTGATTCCGGAGTCAGCCTGGTCTCCTGGTCACTTCTCCTGCCCAGAGAAAGGTCGTTGTGTCCACTCCAGTAGGCTGAGGACAGTTAGTGACAGGAAAGTTCCTGTCCCTGCCTTGCTGGGGCTGGCTGCCTGCATGGGACACACTCTGTTCTTTCCCTGCCCCTCAGGGCATGGCTCCCATCCTGTCCTCGCAGCCCCCAGAGCTCTGCCATGGTGGCATTCAGCACTGAGCAGAACCCCAGGACAGGGGAGTCTTGTCTTCCGGACATCCTAAGGGCCGTGTCCTCTTCATGACATGTCTGTGGTATCTAGCACAGCATCTGGCCCCCGAGACTCACGCGTTTCCCCGTACATGACCCCGCTTAGCACTGGTCTCCCAGCAGGGTGGGATGTGGAGAGCCCTGAGAGACCAAGCCCCAATGCCCCAGGCCGAGGAACAGGCTGTATGGGGATCTCAAAGTGGGAGCACAATGAGCCAGTGCCAGGCTGCCTTCCATGGGTCATGGCCCAGCCCCAGCAGGCCCTCTGTGGGAGAAAACCTTGGGTCCCTAGACACCTGGCCAGGCCCGCTTCTCCACTGCAGTCTGGACAGAAGGACCAAGATGGCTCATGGGGGCTCCGGCAGGGGACCCCAACATTCATGGCTCCCGCTGGACTAGGGAGGGGCATTAGAGCTGAGCATGGGCCAGGCTCAGTGCCCACCCCGGCCCGTCGTGCCAGCTGCTAGTTTCGCCGAACAGGGTGCCACATGGACACAGGCCTGCGCAGAGTGGCCAGCATCTGGTTCCAGTGCGTGGTGCCCATGCCGCTGGCGGACGGCCCAATGATGACATGGCCCACGTTGTCCCCTCGGCCGTCGCTGCTACTCTCAGCCACTGTCACACGGAGAGACAGGTCCTGGGGAGGAAGTGACATGGGTGCTAGGGACAGGGTGCCAGGCTCCAGCAGGGGGCCCGGTGTGACTCCCTGAATCCTTACACCCGATCTGCGTAGCCCCCAGGCTTCTGTTCCTATCTCCCTACACAGCGGCGGCATTGGATTCCCAGGTTCAAACACCAGCCTCCCCACGCGCCTTGCTATGTGACCTTGGGCAGTGAATTGGGCTCTTTCCACCTTAGTTCCCCGTCTGGGAAATGGTAATTCTATTAGTTCCTACCTGTTCTGGGGGAAAAAAAAAGGTTAAAATGTGTCAAGTGCTTAGAACAGCCTGCACACGGAGCATTTTAGATGTCTCATTATTCTTAATATAATCACATGTTGGACTCAGAGCTGAGGAAGGAAAAGAATGTGCTTGAGATCAAAGTGGTTGAGCTTGAAACTAAAACCCAGCCTGACCTCCTTCCTCCTCCTCCTCCTCGTGCTCCTCCTTCCCCACCTTCCCTCCTGGTCCCGAGAGGTCTCCCACCCTTGGAGGCTGTGGAATAGGGACACTGCGGCCACTGGGGGTGGGAGAAGAGGGGGGCAGGTGGACAGTCTGTCCTATGAGGGTGGCAGGAAGGCAACACCGGTGCCAACCAGCGATGCTGGGATGTTTGCCTGCCTTGGGGACTCTGGGAGTGAGGCTGACTTCTGGGCTTTCAAATTCAGGGGGGGTGTCAGAGTTGGCGGGTTCCCACAGCCCCATGGATAAGGGGCAGGTTTCGGCTCAAGGCACAAAAGGCCATTCTCACTGTCAGGGATGCCCAGGGACGGAAGGACAGAGTGAGGGGAGGTGGTAAGCTCCCCATCCTCTGAGGCATGCCAGCAGGGCCACTGGTGAGGCACAGGCCATATCCTCTGTAACCCCCCAGGTTTGGTCTGTGGTATCTGTACTGGGGCCGGGGGGGGGGGGTCTCCCTGGATCACATGACCTTCTGAAAGCCACGGAAGTGTGGGCAGGGCTGAGCAGGGCCTCTGCAGATAGCCTCCAGAGAGTTAGGGCCAGCACTGTGGGCCCTTGGCTTAGCCCTGGCTCATCTCCAAGGCCTTTGTTGCTCCTACCGGAAACTGTCTTAGCTTAGCTCCCCCCTCCTGCAAAAGCCTCCCCTGACCACCAAAGTCTGGCATGCTCTTGGAGGATTAAGATTGTCTGGGGACCTTCTGCCTGTCCCTTGTGAGCACCAAGGAAGCAGCGCCTGCGTCCCCAGCACCCACCATAGGGCCGGTAGCTGGTGGGTGCTCCGTAAATGCCTCACCACTAGAAAGGTGAGGGCATGAGGCAAACCATTGGCATCTGCAGGAGCCCTGAGATGCAAGGTCGGTGTGGCTGGAGTGGCCCCAGAGTCCCCGGGGTGACCAGGCCTGGGCTCTCACACCTGAGCTGGTCCCCCCCTCACCTGGAGCACGATGGCTGGCACCGAGAAGATCATGGCTTCGTTGAACACCGGGTTGGGGTCATCCCTCTTCACAGCCGTCTTCTTTTTGCTCATCTTCCTCCCATCCTGAAGCAGGTACACCTTGACAAAGGGGTCTGTGGGCGAGCGAGAGGTGGGGGTCAGGGCCACACTCCCTTGGCATAGGCCTGCCCAGTCCTAGTGGCCCACTGGCTCCACACAGCCAAACCTTCATGGCTGCTACCATCCCCTGCCATCCTGCCATTGGGTCTTTAGTTCTTTCCTATTTTACAGATGAGAAAACTGAGGCTCGTGCATGAGTCAGGAAAAGAGCCGGGCTTGGGGCTCAGGGAGCCCACCTCCCGGCCCCCGCACGCACTCCCCGCCCATGGCGCTCGGCACACTCCGCAGACCTACCACTTCTCATTCTATAATGAGCACAGACGTCAGCCCTGAGTCACCCTGTACCCGTTCTGTGGAGCCTGACTTTGAAATAACAAGTCACTCACTGCTTGTCACCCTCCACCCATTGGGTGTCCTTGCTGTACCCGCCTGGACCCTGGATTCCCCCTCCCCGCCAGGTCCCAGCAGGTCAGGCTCCAGACCCTCAGTCCTCTGTTTCCAGTTCTGTTCCTGCAGACGGTGGGAGGCAGCAGGTCCTGCCCGGCACCCAAACCATCCTGGGGGCCCTGGGTCCTGTCTGGGATCTGGGACGCAGCCCAGCTCCTCATGAATTCTAGTTCTGGAAAGCGGGCATCCACCTTGGTTTCTTCCCCATGCCCCAGCCTCCTGCTCAGATTCCCGTCTGCCCCTCACGGGGGTTCCCTGCCACCCTCGCTGCGCTCAGCCTTCCGCAGCCAGACTGCTTTCCCCGCTGTGCACGGCTCCTGAGCTCAGCCAACACCGGGGGGGGGAGGGGCCAGGCGCTGTACCCCCACACCTGCTGCTGCTCCCGGGGGCCCCCTGCTTAGCAGGGGGCCACCGCTCCCACCAGCCCACACGAAGGAGCCGGGCAGCCAGCCAGGCCTTACCTGCTGTGGTCTTGTCATTGGTCCAGATGAGATTTTTGGCTTTTACCACCACGACCGTGAGGCGCTCAGCTGTTGGGAGGTAGCTCAGGGACAGCAAGATCTCACCCACAGCATCAGCAGCCTGGAGGACACGTGAGTGACTTGAGGGGCCCAGGGCAAGGCAGAAGCTTCCTTCTCCACTGAGAACTTGTTGCTCCTGCCCTTCCACCAGGCACTGGGCCAGTGGGATTGAGAAAGGGACCCCAGTCCCGCATCCCATGAAGGGTACACCATCCCTCCCTCGTATAGGGGGTGGGCCCTGCCTTGGAAGGAGGGCCAGAGGGCACCTGTCAAATGTGGCCACCCAATGCAGGTAGGGTCCCTCCTTCCAGCCCATGGAAAACGTTCCATGGAGTAGCACACAGAGGTCCCAGCGGACCAGGACGGGTAGACCATTTACTTGAGTAAGAGTGATGGTCCCCAAGCCGTCCTACGCCTATAAAGGTAAACCGCAGCTCGGCCTCTGTCTGCATGATCCCCGTTAGCGCCAGAGCACCTCCCCAGCAGAAACCCTCTAAGGAGGAGAGTGTCTGAAGGTTTGGTGGCTGGCGCAGTGAACAGCAGTGAGAGCATCTTCATTTCATGCAGTAAACAGAGTATTCCTGAATGCGGCACAGGCCTCTTTCTCTCATCCCCTAAAGAACGGCGGGGTGGGGGCGCTTATGGACGGCGGGGTCTCCCCGCTGCAAGAGGCATGTGTGACCCTCTCTCCATGGGCGGACTGACCTTGTTCTGGTCCTGGAGGTAGAGCCAGCCGCTGAAGGGCTGCAGGGGGAGGTCGAGGACAGAGAGCTTCAGCTCGACCACGCCCGTGCTGACCTTCCGCTCGTCCTCATCGATGCCAAACACAGAAAACCGCAGGCTCTTCTCCTCCAGGGCGGCAGGGTCCAGGGGGATGGAGAACTTCTCATCAAAGAAGATGGAGTAGGCATTCCTCTGGATCTGCAGAGAGAAAGGGACACGGAGGGAGCTCTGACTCTGGGGAAGGGGTGGCAGTCAGGGGCCTGTGAAGCCATGGTGGGGAGAGAGCACTGGACAGAGAGTCCAGAGGCCTGGGCAAGTGCCCTGGCTCTGCTGCGCACCACCCCCCTGCCCAGCCTCAATGCCAATTCTTCCTTTGGGGGTTTAGCCCTGAGGACTTTTTTTTAAGGTGGGCTCCATGCCCACCGTGGGGCTTGAACTCATGACCCTGAGATTAAGAGTCTTGTGCTCTATCAACTGAGTTAGTCAGGCACCCCAGCCTTGGGGATTTAAAGGCCCCCGTCTTCCTCTCTGTGGTGGCCAATCTGGTAGCCTGGCATTTGAAGCTTCCATAATCAGACACCAACGAATTCCCACACTCAGTGCCCATGGCTCCATAAAACCCTTGTGATGTTTGCTGAACTGGTCTCCTCTCTCTTATACCAGTTCAGCTCTAGGCTGGGGTGTGCAGTAAGTACAGAAAATCGTGGAGCTGAGAACCACTGATGTCCCAGCCCTTCAGAGCCTGGCCCCGGATGGCCTGAACATTGTGGGATGGATGGATGGATAGGTGGATGGATGAATGGATGGAGTGACGAGGTGAGGCTGGGCAGACTCTGCTTCCAAGACCAGTCCTACCTGGTGGGTGCCTTTGGCCTCCTCCCAGGAAGCCATGGGCAGGCCCCCTGGGAAGGTGCCCTAGCGGGCACAGCTCCCCTGTCCATTGGGGGCTGCCTTAGTCACTGCCTGGCAATATTCAGGGAGGAGCTCTCATCCCTGGAAACTTGCCTGAAGCTGGGGGGTTGCCCAGCCTGGGGGCAGCCACCTACTTGCTAGGACTGGCTGGGTTGCAATGCTGAGAAGCCTGCCTTCTCGGGAATAAATTCGCCAACAGCTCCGGGTGCACTGAAGCATACTCTTTGGTCCCTGCCTGGGTTGTGGGAAGGTTCCTTTGCCACTGCTCCCTGGGAGCCACGTTCCCCAGCCAGTTCCTTGCTTGAGGATCTTCACGGACTCCTTCCCCGTGGGATAAAGTCCACCCCTGATCTTGACCTTGGCCTCCAGGCTCTTCATGATCTCCCTCCTCCTGCCAAATGAGCCACTTTGCTGTCCCCTGCCTGCAGGGGTTCGGGTTCCCTGACCATGCATTCTCTGTGTGTTGTGCTTTATGAGCACATGGGGGGAGGAAAATGGGAACTCCAGGGCCAAGTCCTGGATCTCCGGCTCACTTGCTGGCATAGTGTTGGGCAAAGCACTCTCTTGAACCTCTTCATCTGTAAGAGGGCCTTGGTCCATCCCACTGGGGCTAATGAGAGAGTCACAGATGTAGGGACTCGGTGAACCAGATTCTCAGCACACACCAGGCTGTGGTGGTTCCTGTCCACCAATGTCCCCGCTCAAGGAAGGTATCCGGAACCACCCAGGATCTTCTAGGCAGTCCAGGTCATCGGCAGCCTGGATCCAGGCTCAGCAGGGACACTCCATGGTCCTGAGGTACAATCTATTGTATCCCCTCCTCAAGGATTACAGTCCCCATTTGAGAGATGGGGAAACCGTGTCACAGAGAGCTTACATGATTTATCCAAGGTCATGCTGCTAGGAAGCGGAAAACTGCTACTGGAACCAGACAGTGAGCTTTTAGGGTCCTGCTCCTCACCACCCACTGGACGGCCTCTCTTGGGTCCCACACGTACTGGGCTGTGGTCAGGGACCTGGAGTGGGGGGGGGCAGCGTGGGGGTGGGAGAGGGATGACAGTGTCCACCACAGAGGGACAGTCAACTTCAGCGTGGTAAGAGTGACTGGACACAGGCAGGTTTCTGAGGAGTCAGAAACCACTTGGTCCTGCAAGCCCGCAGGTTCCTCCTACTCCAGTTAGAGGCCACGGGGTGTCTACCTTGCCCACCTCAGAGGACTCCCAGCCATGGCTTCTGGAGCCTTTTACCCCTAATCCAGCCTGGAGGGGAGTGTGTCTCATGAAGGCTTGGCTCCCTCCTGGCAAAACAGAGGGGACCCTTGAAAGATAGCCTGGTGTGGGAGGGTGCTGAGTGTCTCCCCCCACTCTCCCCACCCTGCTCTCGACCCCAGGAACTGACCTCTATGGGTTGATCGACAGGCTCCCTTAGCCTCTGGCTCCTGGTGGAGTCAGACAGGGGGAGTCACTCAAGGGAAATCAGAGGTCAGAGGTGGGGGTGCTTATTCCCTAGGTCCTTCTCTGCAGTACTGCTGTGGTCTGACCATGTGTGTCCCTTGACCAAAGGGCACAGAGCCTATCAACGTGGCCCCTCCACATGCCTTTCTTCCTTTGGGGCCAGTAGTCTCCCCTTCCCCTTATCCCTTCAGAAGAGGGAGCCACTCTATCTTTGAGGTCATCCTATACCCCACCCACACCATTGTTTTGTGTGTGTGTGTGTGTGTTTTAAAGATTTATTTATTTATTTTAGGGAACGGGGGCAGGGAGGAAGACAGAGGCGCAGAGGAAGAGAGAGAGACAGAATCCTAAGCAGACTCCCCACTGAGTGTGGAGCCTGACACGGGGCTCGATTCCACGACCCTGAGATCATGACCTGAACCTAAATCAAAAGTCGGAAGCTTAACCAACTTAGCCCCCCAAGCGCCCCTCCCCACACGATCGTTAACAGTCCTGTTATCGAGCTCTCCACAAGTGAGCCAACTTGAACATGTCATCCCTCTTCTGCCAGGACCCTAAGCTGACCCAGGGGACAGGAGCGGAAACGGACAATTACCACACACGGGGCTGCTGGGGTAGGACTGCCGAGAACCGCGCCTGGTACCTCAGGTCCTTCAGCTCTGGGATTAGCATCTAAAGCTGCCCTGTGGCACCTTCCTCACATCCAGCCTGGCCCTGCAGACCTGCCTGCCCGGGGAGGACCTCCGAGAGCCCAGAGCGCACCCCACTTACCCGGGAGATGCCCACGATCTGCTCGTCGGGCAGCAGGCTGACGCGCATGAAGCAGGACTCGAAGCCGGCTTCTTCCCGCTCCAGGAGGTCCTTGCCCTGCAGCACGGCCACGTGGAGGGTGTGCGAGGCCGTGTCGTAGTCCATCCTCACCTCCACCTGGCCCAGCGTGAAGTCCTGCCCGAAGGTGTTGCTCACGGAGGAGATGGAGTTCAGCGAGTCAGCTGACTGCGACTTGTGGAGGGTCCCGTAGGGGGCCAGGTCCAGCTCCCGGCCCATCAGCTCCAGTGGTCCCAGCTCGCTGATGCTCTCAAAGGTGTCCTCAATGCTGAGGCTGCCTTTGCGGCTGGGTGGTCCCCGCGTGCTGGCCCGTGGGGCATTCCAGGCAGGCACTCTCTGGGGGTGAGAAAAAGGGACACGGGAGCCTCACAAATGCAAAGGCATGGTCTTGTGAGCCTGGTCTAGTCGAGGCACCTCTAGTTCCCCTTTTGCAGGAACGATGCATGCCTTAGTCCGGTGTTTTTAAAGATTTACTTACTTGTTTGAGGGTGGAGAGAAAGAGAGAGAGAGAGAGAGAGAGAAGAGCACAAGCAGGGGGAGGAGCAGAGGGAGAGAACATCCACGCAGACCCCCACTGAACATGGGGCCTGGTGCGGGGCTCGATCTCACAACCCATGCGATCAGGACCTGAGTCTGATGCTCAACCGACTGAGCCCCCCAGATGCCCCAGGAAGGTCCTGGCTTAATGCTCTTTTGTGTCACTCTGTTTTCTTTCCCTAACCACAAGGAAGAAAGCTTTTTCTCAAAATGTTTAGTGATGCAGACTGAGTTCCGTACATAAAGATGTTCACTGCAGTGATGTTTATGAAAAGCGAAAGTAGTTCGCAATCTAAGTTTCTAGCACAAGGGCAAGGGGTAAGAATACTAGGGCAGAGCCGTTCAACAGATGATCAAGCAGCCTCAAAGGATGTTTACCAAAATATCTACAAAAGGGGAAGTCTTCCAAGTTGGGTAACGTTCGCCCTAATATTCAAAATTTTCTTTTCTCTAAATTGACCTTGGGATTTGAGAACCCAAAAGCCTTTGTGCCATCAGCATCTCCCAAGCGGCTGCACAGTCTTCATTACCATAATTTTTAACGGGCCCCAACCTGTCATTGAGTGGATAGCTGTGATTTACTTTACTGTCCCCCACTGCTGGACATTTACGTTGTTGCTTATTTTTCACGATGAGAGATAACGCAGCATCAAATAGCTTTCTTAAAACCCTAGCTCAGAGGACACGGTCCTTTTGCAAGCGGTTGACCTATGTGGCCAAAATACTTTTTGGAAAAGTTGTGCCAAGGTACAGTACCCCCCAGCAGAATGGGAGATAGTCCCCTCGCACCCCAAATGAATGAGCGTGTGGGGCCCCTATCCGGTAACAGATTCTGGCTGTGTTCTCTGGAACTCGACAGGATGTTAGAAAAATTCTCTGCCAAGTGTCTAATGATGAAACATTCAGCAATATACACTGAGAGCCCTAAAAAATGTTTGTCCTCCCTGACACAGGAATTCCACATCTGGGCATCCACTCAAAGTACATAATTCCAAATGAAGACAAAGTTTTATATATAAAATATTCACTGAATTATTTATAATGGCACTTAGGAAATCATGGCACATACATAAAAAGGAACCTGAACCGGCCATTAAAATGATGTTTACGGGGCCCCTGGGTGGCTTAGTTGGTTAAGCATCCGACTCTCGGTTTCGGCTCAGGTCATGATCTCAGGGTCATGCGGAGTCTGCTTAAGACTGTCTCTCTCCATCTGCCCCTCCCCCCTGCTTTCTCTCTCTAAAATAAATTAATAAATCTTTTTAAAAATGATGGTTTATGACGGGGGCTCAACAATATAGGAAAATGTTTTAGCTGTGAGATAAAAAGAGCAGGGTATAAAATTTTATGTAGAAATGACACCCATTGTATAAAAACTATGCATGGAAAAAAGACTGGAGGGTAGATTAAAAGTACTGGAATGAAATCAAAATGTTAGTGGTTAAAATACAGCTCACAGTTATTTGCCCCTGGGTGGTAGCATGTGGAGAGAGGTTTTCTTATTTGTATTTTCCTGTAGTTTCCACAGGATGGTTTTTATTTTATTTTATTATTTTGTTTTTTTAAAAAGATTTATTTATTTATTCGACAGAGGGAGAGAGAGAGAGTGCACAGCAGGGGGCTCAGCAGGCAGAGAGAGAGGGAGAAGCAGGCTCCCCACTGCGCAGGGAACCTGATATGGGGCTCGATCCAGGGATCATGACCTGAGCAGAATGCAGACGCCCAACCGACTGAGCCACCCAGGTGCCCCACACAGGATGGTTTTTAAAATTGAAAGCATTCATTCCCTCACTAAGTGTCCCCTGGTTTCGCACCACTGGGCTGTGGTGGAGATACGGAGTGGGACAAGGGTCCCTGGTCACCGGAGGAAGTTAACCAGGAGAGAACAAGGGACTGGGGAGGGAGGGGATGCCGTCTTGAGAGAGCGGAAACCTCACCTTCTGCTTGGCCTCTGCGTAGGTCTCCCCGTACTTCTGCTGAAGGTACCTGTAGTCGTAGTTTGGGAATGGGGAGGGGCTGGGGAAGCTCCCCGATGTCCAGAGCTTCCACAGGCTCACAGCTGCAATTCCCAGCAGTGCCAGGGCCCCAGCAGTGTAGACACCCACCTCCCAGCCAGGGGGGCTCTTGATGACTGCAAGGTAAGGGCAGCCTCTCATTAGTAGGCTCTGGGGTTCCCCGGTGCTTACAGACTCCCACCCACGGAGCAGGGAGTTCAGCACTGACTTCCTTATTCACTGCACAAATATTTACTGAGCCGCTACTATGAGCCAGGCTCCATGCAGGGTGCTACGGGATCCAGGATTGAATAAGACATATGTACGCTATGATTTCTGCTTCCATCTCCTTTTCTACAAAAGCATCCATTTCTACCGGAACAGGATGGTGGTGGGGACTGGCTTGGCTAGATCAGATGAAGAGCTGTGAACGATGGTTAAACATTCCCTAGGCTTTGAATAAATAGGGTTAATTTCCCCCCTTTTGAGTTCTCTGACCTTACAGCCTTCAAAAGACCTCTTGCCGCCAGGTAATCAAAGCCACCTTTTGAGGTCTGAAGGAAGAGGGAAAGGGTTTGGGGAAAAGAAGAAATTACCCCATTTTTGCCTCACCGTCATGTAGAACAACCCAAAGTCTATCAATTGATAGACGGATAAATAAAATCTCCATCCACGCAACATACTATAATGTGGCAACACAAAGGTTTTGGTTGCAACATACACCTTGCAACATACATGACCCATGAAAACGTCATGCTAAGCGAAAGAAGCCAGTCACCAAAAAACACATGTTGTAGGACTCTACTTACATGAAATGTCTAGAATAGGTAAATGCCTACAGACAGTTGGTTAGTGATTGTCTAGGGGGACAAGGGGGCAATGAGAATACAGGGTTGCTTTGGAGAATGATAAGCAGATTCTCAAAGTTGAAAGTGTTGATGGGTATAAAATATGTTAAATCCACTGAATTGTACGTCTTAAGCGGGTAAATTGTATGTGAATTTTATCTCAATAAAGCTCTTATAAAAAAAAAAAAAGGCTCAGCCAGGAGTGAGATGTAGCTTTCCGGCTGTGCAGGGCTTGGGGACAAATCCAGACGCTTAATGCTCTCTCTCTGCTGATAAGTAAAGAACTTTCCCTATCTGAGCCTCACTGGCCCCAGACATAGTAACAAACCACCCCTCACCAGTGTTGGGTGAGCTCTCACCTATCAGAAGTGACCTTCTGCCGGCAAACATAATTCTCTGCACCATTATCAGGGCTGCTTCTATGCTCAGTTCAAATGGGGAAACTGAGGTGCACAAAGGATAAAGAAATTGCCCAAGGTCACAGAGCCAGGAGGGGGTGGTCCTGGGATTTCAACTCTGCCAGCCAGACTTGAGAGCAAGCAGGAGTCACCATGGCCCCACCCAGCCTCCACCCAGCACAGCTCTGAAGCAGCAAGGCGAAAAGAGTTGGGGAGGGCATTTCATGTGTGGAGATTCATCACTGCAACGTCTGTTGAGCACCTACTGTGTGCGAACACTCTGGAGGGAGTCAGCCCCAGGCTCAGTCCCTGTCCTTAAGTAGCTCACAGTCTAGGGATGAGATAAGTAGGCTAAATAGACAAAAACAGAGTGATGAGGACAATCCAGGAGGGCTTCCTGGAGGAAAGACAGCCAGGCTGAGATACAAGGGAGGAGCAAGAAATGTGCCAGGCCAAGGCGCCAGGGACTGGGAGTTTAGGACAAGAAGAGGAGAGGGTGTCCAAAGCCAGAAGCATTCAGAGTGTCCAGTGGGGGAGAGAGAGTGGGGCATTTGGGGCTGGGGATTTCCTTGCTACCCCTTCCCTGAAGCCAGGCTGTCCTGTGCTGCCACACAGCAGCAGCAGCAGTCCCGCTGGCAGTGGGAGGCCTCAGCCTACCCCTGCTCTCCTGAGACGCACCAACTCTAGCCAGAAGCCATAACACCAACGCACTCTGGAGAAGAGCAGGGCCAGCCTGTATCCCCGGCATTTATCCAGCAAGCACATCCTATGAGCTCCCGACCTCCACCTGCTAGAGGAGGAGAGCTGAGGCTGGGAGAGGCTGAGAGCCTGCCCAGCCACCGGCCAAAGGCCCTGGGGTAGGAAACACAGAGCCTCACCAGTCTGAGCTGGAGCCTTCCCACCCAGAGAATGGAGATGACCACCCCGCCGCCTGCCGCCCCCACCCCCCAAGCATACGGTCCCGTCCTGGGGAATTTATCTTGCGGAAAAAAATCCCAGGAAGTTTTATATCTGGTGTGAATCATCAAGGCTGTATTTATAACCGCAGAAAACTGGAAACAGCCTGCCGGGGTCACTGGGGCCAGGTGGTGCTAACTAGGGAGGGAAATACCACTGGCCTTTGAGAATGGAAGTCATTAGGATGTCACTGCGGCAAAGCAGGAAGACGTGTCATGCATTGCCAGAAGAAAAAAAGATGAATTCACGACATGGTCCAGCCACACAGTTTTGACGTAAACATCACACAGCCTATGGACAAGGGCTGGGCGGGACCAGGGACAGATGAGAGGGGCGGGAGATCAGGACGGAGGAGCTGTGAGCAAACCCGGAGTTCTGACCTCTGTTGACAGAACATCATTTGTGGGCTAACCAAAACCACAACAGAGATCTACAGAGGGCCCCAGGCAAGCCCTGCAGAGCCAGGAAAGTTATGGGAGTCTGGTGAATAAGGGATGGCCTAGGAATGGGTCTGGTGAACTGGAGAGTGAGGGCACACGTGAGGAGCTCTGGCCCGGGATGCTCCAGGGATGGCTCCCAGCAGGGCCAGTGGTTGTGGGGGCGGGCGAGCAGGTGGGCACTGAAGTCTGAGGTCCCTGTGGATGATGGGCAAGGCCATGTGCACAGCAGAGCCAGGCTCTCCTGAGAGGGAGGATCCCGGGGTGGCTGAGGGCCTGAAGCCAGAGTCCTGGTTGGCAGAAAGGTGGGCAGGAGAGGAACAGCCCCAGGACGGTGACGCAAAATGATGCCTATTAATGCGAATTTATTTATTCATTTTATTGCCTGCCAGCCTCGGGGGTATGGGGAGAATTCCCAAGGGAAGCGAGCACTCTGCTGGGACCAGAAATGAGGAGGAGGCAGCAGCGTCAGAGTGGCACATAATAAAAGCTTCCTTGACTGTCGACTATTTGCCAGGCCCCTGTCCAGCACTTGTTTGTAGATTAGCCACTGAGACCCCAGGAGATGAGGGGCCGAGGAGGTGTTGGCGGCCTGCCAGTCTGGAGCTAGATCTGCCTCGGGGACATCCCACTGGTCTCGAGGGCTTGGCCAGGCGGAGGCAGGGAAGGACTCTGGGCAAAGGAAAGGGCATATGCAAAGACCTGAGTTGGCACTAAGCTCGGTTACTGAATCTTCCCAGCAGTCCTTGAGGGAGGCCTCACTTCCCCCATTTTGCAGATGAGTAAGTAGAAGCCCAGAGAGGTTTTTGTCACTCGTCCAAGGCCATGCCAGGTCCTAGCCCAGTGTCCCCAAGGCTGTGTGACCTTGGGTAAGTCCCTCTCCTTACTGCTAAAATAGGGCCATTACTGGCATCCCACTGACACCCCCACCCCAGGCCTTATGGGAGGGCCCGGTGAGGTGACAGCTTCTGCTGGGACTCACCGCTCAGGTGGTATTCAGCCACGTCCATGGCCATGGTGATGCCTGCTGCAGCAGCTGGGCCTGCAAGGGGAAAGACAGTCAGCAGAGGGGGCTTTGGAGGGCCACCAACCCGAACCCTATGCCTTGACCTCCCTGATGCCTGTGGGCCTGTCTGGAGCTCACATTCACCTGTGAGGAGAGCTCAGCCAAAGGTAGGCTTTTAAATGGCATTTTCATTTTTTTTTTATTTAATTTTTTAAATTTTATTTATAAAAAAGATGTTATTTATTTATTTTTGCAAGAGAGAGCATGCACGAGCTAGGGGTGGGGGGTGGGGAGAAGGGGCAGAGGGAGAAGCAAGCTCCCTGCTCAATCCCAGGAGCAGGGATAGAACGGCCTGGGAACGAGCCAAAGGTAAATGCTTAATCCAGTCACCTATTAAATGGCATTTTAAAAAAATGGTGTTTAGGGTGCCTGGGTGGCTTAGTGGGTTAAAGCCTCTGCCTTCGGCTCAGGTCATGATCCTGGAGTCCTGGGATCAAGCCCCGCATCGGGCTCCCTGCTCAGCGGGGAGCCTGCTTCCCCCTCTCTCTCTCTCTGCTTGTCTCTCTGCCTACTTGTGACTTCTCCTTCTGTCAAATAAATAAATAAAATCTTTTTAAAAAAATGGCGTTTAAAGCTCTTTCCAACCATTCTAAGACCACCTTAATTTCCGGATTGCAAGATAAAAATGCAAGATGCCCAGTGACATTTGAATTTGATTCATTTTTAGTATAAGTATGTACCAAATATTGTATGGGACATACTTATACTAAAAAAAAAAAATTATTCATTGTTTATCTGAAACTCAAAATTTCCTGGGTATCCTGCATTTATATTCACTAAATCTGGCACCGCTACCTCATTTCCATCCTACCAACCCCATCCAACCAACATCCTACCCGCAACTGTTCTCTGATTCTTTGCTACTTATAGCGTGGGCTTTTAGGGTGTTTGCTAAGGCTTACTTCAAAAGCTTTTGTTTCCACTGGAAAGGCAAGGCTGCATTTCTGCAATATTCTATTATCAGTCCTTTCACTGCTCAGGATGGTTTCCTCCCCACCCCACCCTCCAATTCCAAGTTTTATGAATGCTGAAGGTCTGAATCAGTTGTTCTAGAAAGGTCTGGGAGTCATACAAGCCATTACCTGAACCCCAGTGACTGCTCATAATTTTATTACTGCTGTTGCTGAGAAGTACTTTTGTCTCACAGACATGAGCTAAAGGAATGGACAAGGGAGGCTGGGATAACCGTATCGGCCTCAGCTCTAAGGGCCACGGGAAGACAGGACAGCCCCGCCCCCGCAGAGGTGGCTGTAAACAGGTCAGGGTGTTGGCTCGCCTCCCCCCCACCCCACCAAAGGCCGCTGTTTTTTCTGTTCCCGCAGGAATGCCAACCTAGCACTGCTGGATCTTCTGGCTTTTCATGACTTTATTTTATTTTATAAAATATTTTATTTTTAAGTAATCTCTACGCCCAATGTGGGGCTCGAACTTACAACCCTGAGATCTAGAGCTGCAGACTCTACTGGCTGAGACAGCCAGGGGCCCCAATCTCTAGGCATTTTATTTTATTCTGTCTATCTATCTATCTTCTGGCTTTTTCAAGAAAAGCCAGGTAGGGGCGCCTGGGTGGCTCAGTGGGTTGAAGCCTCTGCCTTCGGCTCGGGTCAGGATCCTGGGATCGAGCCCCGCATCGGGCTCTCTGCTCAGCAGGGAGCCTGCTTTCCCCTCTCTCTGCCTGCCTCTCTGTCTACTTGTGATCTCTGTCTGTCAAATAAATAAATGAAATCTTAAAAAAAAAAAAAAAGAAAGAAAGAAAAGCCAGATACCTGGATTTTTTTTAATGTGCAGTTTCTTGATTTTTTAAATGTTGTAACCAATTCACAAAAAAATGTGAACACTGTTCAGCCACAGGGTAAAAGGCTCCCAGGCTGTGGCTTGGCTACCCTCTTTGCAACCCCTGGAAGGATTCTGTGGGTTCCCTTGGGGATTGGAGTCTAATCAGAAGGTAAGCATTTTCTTGAATCCTGGGGTTCTCCCCAGTCTGTGGCTCTACAGCCCAGAAGTCTGGTTCCGACGGGGTTATCCAGCACATGGGGGAGTGCCAGAAGCCCCAGGGCAGGAGGCCTGGAGAAACAGGGCAGGACAGAGCCCTGGGGCAAAGCTCTGTCAGGTGCGGGGACAGCTCCTTGCTCCCAGCTCTGCCGATGGTGATCCAGTGAGAGGTGGGTCTTTCACGGTGGTAGAAGGGAGGCTTATCCGGGAAGCCTTCACCTATGCTGACCCGAACAGGGAGCTCACTCCTGGGACCCTGGGCTGTAGACCTGGATGACAGCCTCGCTGAGCACTCCGTAGGCCCGAGAGCATGATTCTAAGCATTTTGCTTATATATTACCTCATTTAATCCTCTAACCACCCCAGGAGGTAGATACTATTATCATCTCCAGTTTGCAGAGGAAGAGTCCTGAGGCCCGAGGGGAAAATCATTTGCCCCAGACCACACGGGACTAAGAAACCGGTCCACCCAGGCCCTCTGGCTCCATACTCCTAACCTCCGTGCCTTACTGCAGATGGCATATGGTTTCAAAACTTTCCTGAGAACGTGCAGGCCAAGCAGGTCCCTGTGGACAAGTCCAAGGTGGCCCTAGTTCCTGGCAGAACGGGGTCTGGACATACCAACACACATATGTTAAGGGGTACACACCTGTCCCAGCCTTGCTGGGAATCCAATGCCATCAGCTTTCTTTCCTGCTTACTTGGCACAAGCTGACTTCCAGAGTGAGGCTTCACGGGGATAGCCAGTGCTAGCAGCAGGCTAGCGTGGACGGGGTACACCCCCATGGCAAGTACCACCTGGTATGGGACAGAACCCCGTATCTGCTGTGCCAGACTTAGAGCTGTGGAGGGGCCCCCAGCCCTCCGAGGCTGGTCCAGCTCCAAACCCCAACTATCACACTGCCCACTCTTCCCACACCCCTTGCCCGGGAGCTGTAGTTTCAGTGAACATGTGGATGATTCGAGGCACACCCAAGCCCCAAGTTTCTGCAGTGGCCCCCAGAGAGGTAGCAGAAGTCTGACTGAATCTGCCTAGACGGAGGGAGGGAAGGAGGAGAAAACTGGGCTGGGGGAGGAGGTGGGCAGCCTGAGCACAGTTCTGAATCTCAGCTCTGCCCGCTGACTAGCTCTGAGCCTCAGTCGTCCCATCTGTAAAATGGGGCTCATGACTGCCTTATCGGGGTGCTAGGAGGGCAGACTAAGAAGTATAGTCTGGCTTGGTAAACATTAGCTGCTGTAGTTACCAGCCTGACAATCGTCCCAAAGGCCCCCTAACTAAGCCCTCGTTTGAGCAGTAGAATCGTGTGGGCAGTAAGCTCGATTTACAGCTTCCCTTAAAAAATGAGGAGATCTGGGGGCCGGTGGGTCGGTCTCCCCTGACCCCTGCAAAAATGCCAAAGCTGGAATGGAGTAGGCTCTGCCCCTTTGGAGGGGGCATTTGTTCTTCAAGCCCGGCCCCTCCCATCCCTCCACTCACTTCCAGAACCTGCTGGCCCCTGGAGCACATCTCCATTCATGGCTCTTGGATGAACAGTGAGAGGTTTAGAAAGGTTCAGGAATCTGCCCAAAGCCACACAGCCAGCAGTGGGAGAGCTGGTCCTGGGCAGCCATGCCTGCTGCCCCGTCTGGTGCCTCTTCCACTAGTAGCCACAGCCCCCAAGGACTTCACAGGTGTCTTCTCCAACACCTCCCACAAGATCCCTATGGGATATCCTATCATTAACCTCATTCCACAGAGGAGGAAGAAGAGGCTCAGAGAAGGGCAGTAAATTTGTCCAAAGTCACCCAACCAGGAAGCAGGGAGCAGAGACTGAGCTAACTGTGTAGTGAGTGCCCTTCTGCATGGCTTTCCTCCCTAGTGCTGGCCCCCTCGTCCCCCTCATCTCACCGACTACAGCCTCGGCAAGCAGGCTCCCACCGCCGCCTGGCTGGAGGTCCTCTGGGCAGAGGGGCTGTGGCTTCGGCCCTCTGCTGACAAGGCATGTCAGGAAGCCAGGGAAGCCTATGATAGAACTCCCCCGAGCTTCTGATACAGAGGAAATGGGCACACCAGGGATGAGCCAGAGCTGTCCCAAACTCACACCCAACCTCCTCAGATCCACGTCCCCTTCCAGGCACCCTTTCCCATCCATCCGTTCTACTCATTCTGGTCCCAGCCCCTCCCCCCATCCCGAATCTAAAACTGCATGGGGCCTGCTCCCTGGAAACAGCTCTAGGTTCAAATCCAGACTTAATCAGACCTACGTGGCAGTGGCTCCCGACTGCTGCAAACATTGGACTTCATACCTGCGAAATGCTCAGCACAGAGCCTGGCCTGGCCGAGGCTCGTGATACAGCCATGACGCTTGGCTGGATGAACGGGTCCCTGTTTTAAAGATGAGGAAGCGGGGGCCCCAGGTCACTCAGCATTTGAGTAGCAACCCTGGGACTGGTGCCAAGGTGTGATGGATCCGGGCCTGGGCTCTTGGCCCTGATGCCACCTCCTGACCAGGCCTTTCAGGGGGTGGAGGTGGGTGGAAAGAACTGTCACTGGCCTTACTGGAATCTGACCACAGTCGAGGCCCCCTCCCGGGCTTGTCGGAGGAATGGCTTTCCAGGAATTTTGTGCCTCTCCAGGGGAAAGGGGCGCCGTGTCTCTGCTTCCCCCACCCCATTTCCTTGCTCACTGTGAGCCCACATCACATTTGTGGCTCGCAAGGTGTTGCCTGTCCCCCCACCCCCACCCCTGTGGTCATCAGATATTAGGAAGGATTCCGATGTGGGCACAGGGCAGTCCTTACCTCCCAGGCTGTAAACCTCTTTAGGATCTTTAGGTTTGAAATCTTTTTCAAGTGCTTCCCTCCTCCCGCCCCCAGAATAACCACATCCTGCTACCATCCCCCTAAAGCCTACAGAAACCGCAGGGCAGACTGGCTAGGGTGGCGGCTGCTGGCGTCTACTGGGTGCCTACTATGTGCT